CCCCCCCCCCCCCCACCACTCGATTTTGGGGCCTAACTAAACCATAAAACAAAGTAGCACAACCGAACCGCCTAAACAGAACAAGGAGACTAAATATGTCACTATGATAGGAGAAGGAGCTACACAATTCACAATTGCCTACTTACTGTTTTTCATAGCCCCCTCTAAAAAGACTAGCTATGTGTTTCTCGATAGAAAAAATGAAAACGAAACTCCAGAAGGCTATGTGGTCTATAAATACTCTATGGCTCTATGCAGCTACATATTATTCCCAAAAATAGTCCGATTTACATTCCAGACATCTATTTCGCTATTTTATACTTCTTTTAATAAGAATATTGTTGCTCTTATGTATCGTCATTTCCCTATTTATTTCACGGCCCTCTGCCTCCCCCCATCCTGTGTATGTGTGTGACTGTGTGTGTGTGTGACTGTGTGTGTGTGTGTGTGTGACTGTGTGTGTGTGTGTGTGTGACTGTGTGTGTGTGTGTGTGTGCGTGTGTGACTGTGTGTGTCTCTCTCTCCCTCTCTCAGAGTAGAGAGAGAGAGAGAGAGTAGAGTGTGTACTGTCTGAGAGACTGTCACTCTGAGTGTTTACATAGCACTCTCATATTAACAGTCTAACTATTACTCTATGCCTGCTCTAACTCTACTCTGTAGAGAGTAGAGTAAACCTCTATGTATTTATGTAACAAGAAGCGGGTTGCTGGCCCGTTGGGACTTTGGAAGGCTCGGAGTTCTACCCTCTACTAGCCTCTACTAACTACTTGCTACTACTACCTACTCAGAGAGAGAGAGAGGCCTGTCCTTTATTGCTCACTGGAGAGAGCTAAAGAGTCAGCTTCCGGATTCCGGCTGCGGATGCATGTTCGAAACTTCACATGTTCTTGATTTGCCGACAAAATTAGAAAATTTGAACTGGAGATCTTACAGACTTCAATAGTCAAAACACGCATGACGCAGATAATTTAAAAAATACCTGTGGGTTGGTACTTGGTAAACACTAGACATTTCACATTTTTTAAAAACAAAATTAAAAACTCACATATAAAGTCACATTAGGACAGCAATCGACTATTTATAAATATTTATGTCGTGACTCGTGATGACATACTTTTTGTTGGACATATCTCGCAACATAAAGTCGTCAGCCTGTCAGGAGCGTGAAAGCTGCATCGGTGTACATCAAATCATAGCCTTCTAGAAAAGGACGTTATTGATTATTTTTAGACAAATGCTATGATCACAAAATTATATATTTTTTGTTCCACATCAGACCCAAAAATAAAACGGCATGACCCTCACGGCCTCACAGGCTCACAGCCCAGTTACCAGTACGTAGCCCACACTGGCACACTCGAACGACGAACAGGCCCACACTCTCAGTCTCAGTGCTCACCGTATCCACATAAATAAATACTCTGAGACTGATGAGTAAATTGTTTTTAAAAACAAATGCTTGAGCCATCTGCCGTGAAAAAGCCAAAAAGGTCGGTGACTCCAACGACTGACGGCCGACGGGGAGAGGCAGCAATTGTATACTTTTCTACTGCTCTCTTTATAGACTGTTTCAAAAGACATTGCCCTGGTCGGCTGGCTCTCACTATTCATTGAAATGAGTATCCCACTGCATTTCAACAAGGTAGTTGATCATTTTAATTGTATGCGCAGCATATTTTAAAGCGCGATTACTACCATAATATTCCAACATACAAATGGTCGCCACATGGTACAAATAGTCATGCCGACCGCTGGACTTCGGCCCGACTTTCCATTTACAAGTAGACTACATCAGTCTTTGATATACACACCAGTGCCCTACAATCCGGTAGGCTGTGTCAGCCACAAGACCGAGTACAAGCCTACTAAGAAGCAACTCAAATGTAATTTTGCCGAGTGCGGGAAATATTACTCATCAGAAGACACACGTCGTCGACACTACAGGAATCATCATGCGCTTCAATGGAGTGCAGTGCGACGATGCAAGGAGAACACGTTGGTAAAGAAGGAACAAGTGCGAAAAAAACTGCAGCTTGATCGTGCTATGAGTGTTCCGAACATCTCAAATCCATGCGTCAGATTACTACCTCACAAAGGCCCACAATTTTATAGGCAGCAATCCATGCCCTATTTGACAACGATTTATCCGGCCACCAGTATCCCGCTGAACTCACCGGGGTCAATCAACTCTTTGCCAGGTGCTACAACTTTCCATCCTTCGATATCTGCGCAACATTCGCAATCGAGTAACACTTTCATGTCTAATGAGCCGTCCGCAGCAATGATGGCACTAGAAACACAACGAGAGACTATGGCTCGAAACACTGTGCAAGCCAACCAAGTTTTGGGCAATCTTCCGCCATTTTCGAGTGTGCCTGGCATGTCACCAGAACCCGATCGTCTTCTCCTGGAATTGCAGCGATTAGTCGACAGCTACGGACAATAAATCTAAAATACTCATTCCAATCATGGCGTTATCTCGTACTTCTGATGGGTCCACTCTCTTGTACACTACTGTTAAAAGGAGAATTTTCTGATAGACATAGTTCGTCAAATCTCAGTAATTTGGTGTTCTCTATTATATTTTCGTCGACAGTACAGAGAAATCACTCGTCCTTTACATCCTTGCCCATTTTTCATACTGCTAGTGTATATGATACCAATGACGTAGCACCATTGATCTGCTGCACCTCTGATCAACGGATATGAGTGTTACTTGTGTATTGCGGTCAAATAAACCTGTTCCAACTGCCTTCTAGTCGGGTGGACGAGCATTTTAAAATTATATAGGGACACGAGTGCCTAGTACGGTGGTCGATTTTAAATTGGAGATCGTTTTTCACAACGGGTTCTGAACTGATCGTTTGAGAGAATGTACACGATCAAACACGGATCAGAAGATCACGAAATTAAACAATTACATCGCTAAGAGACCTGCCAGTGGGACAATTTAGGCATTAAGCTCATCGCGAGTTGGTCTTATATCTGTTTATATACTTGCGATAAAAATCAGCAGTGGTCTTTACATCATGTGTGTCACTACAACAGACCAGCGTAGAACGCAAAATACGTTCACACATAGTTGTTTAAAGCACATGTTGGATCGCTATTTGTCATATGGCATCACTCTCTGTAAGTATTTCGATGTATACTTCCCCCAGTCACCGGTCCACTCCAAAATTATCCGGATATATATGTATGGGAAGACGTTGAGCATACGGCAACGTGCTAATCTCTCTGTTGTACAGCAGAAATTCTGCCCAGTTATAAGCGTGAGTGAGCACTCCTTCGTCTGTTTGAGTGTACCCCAGACCCGTGTATAAAGTGTCAAACTGAAGAACATTACACAGAAAGGCACGCACCTGGGAAAAAGAAGAAGGTTGCTTGTCATTATTTTCTGCTACGTCGTGCGAAGTTGGGGTCGATTTTTATTTACGACCCTTAGATTAGTTTTCATGCAATAAGATATGCGTCGCACAGCAACTCATCGACGTGACACTTGCAAGCAGTGTATGCTGTGGGCTATAGGGACGTAGATAGAGTGTATACACACAGGATGCGTGACACACATAGCTCAATACCCATGCGTCGCGAGCACACGATTGCTATTCTAATCATACACGATCACAAATTTAGTCGTACCTGCAGAGCAGATGGTCTGTCCAGCGTCAAAAAGTAGTCGAGACCTGTTCAAACATCGGATGGCAAAGCAAGAGACGTGTGAATCACAGTTAATAGCAAACCTACAATGAAATAGCTGCAACCGAACCAGCCAGTCGTCAAATCATAGCCAAGTGCACTGTTAGAGAATGTCTAAGACAAAATCTTCTACAAACGTCGGGACACAAACCTGACAGCATGCCCGTCGATATGTAATAATGTTGTTAAAAGGAGTCATAGTCACAAATGCGCATCAATGTGAAGCCTTTACTCGTTGTACAGTGCCAGAGTATGGTAGCAGATATCTGCGTAACCCACTGCATGTAGAAGCCAGACAAGCACAGAAGTGTAGGGCTTCGAAATAGATGTAAATCTGACGTGATGCTTAATCACAACGATGTTTCCAATAGGACACATTTGGCCCAGCAGTTCACCAGAAATGCAAACGAAACCTACGCATGTAAATATTCGGGATAAGAGAATACAATTGACGTCCACAACACGCACCTGCTTGCCCGTATTTTAGCTCATTGAAAGCGTTCTGGGCCTCAGTCGAACCGCATTGCCAACGACTACCGTGGCGTTTACAACCTCCACCGGTCAACTCACTGAAGTGTGTGGTGTGCAATTTCTTCAGCACCTGGTCTGTAACAAAAGGGAGCTCGATGCCGTCCTGCTGATAGCCTCCACATAAAAAGTAGAGGACGATCCGGTGTATGAGATTTTGTAACCAATCAACGAGCACGCATACAAGGCAAAGAGCAACTAATATCTCTATCCGTGTGTGCATGATATATGTATTGGTAAAAGGCTATACCAATTCAAGAAACACACAAAGCAGCCCTCACCTTTTCGGACCTTCTGCCACGCTATGGGCCATGCAGCTGGGATGGTTGCTCGGTTGAGATCAGTTGATTTATCGCACTGGCCTGTGGCTGGGTCGTTCCCACCCCACACTATCAGCTGGAACTCAAATCCCTTTTCCACCATGGATAAGACCTCGTCTTTGTGCCAGCCTAGTTCTGTTGGATATAAGCCCATTCGTATTTGCGATATTAATAATATTTGCCCATTCGATAGTAATTCATGTCTGATGTGGGCAGAGTAGTGGTTTCCTGTTCATCGTTTCCATGACTACGTAGATACGTGGAGGTACAGAGTAGTGAGTGTTGTTCAGTTTCAAACAGGATTCATCTCCAGCGTCTCAAATGCAAACAGAGAGATCCACAAGCCAATAAGTTTGTATGCACATGTATATACTACCAAAGTGAAACAACATCAAGCAACCCTCAGCCTGCCACTGCACATTGCTACCCATATTTTCAGACACAATTCCTTCCCCAATTCGGGTCGTGAACGTATGCCTTGCAAGATAAATATGACATTCGCTGTACATACGCTACCCATATTTTCAGACACAAAACAAGTAGCACAGCACGCACTTGTGAATCTAGCCATTATAATACATGAAATGTACAGAGAGCCGAACAACCCAAAGAGTATCATAGGTTAGTCTATAAATAGTAGCTAAACTATGAATTTAACTCAGACAACAGAGGCAATCCATATTCTAATTAGTTGAATATATGTTCAATCGAACAGATATACCTGTAAGCATTCGGATTGGATCATGTAAATGCTGATATGTGTACTCGGAAAGCGCATCGGCGCCTACTGCCCACACAACTTTGCGGAAGGGGTGTGAACCGGAAAGTCTACTATCCCATTCTTTCGCTCCGGAAGCCTTCGTAATTACTCTTCCATGCATTACACAGCCTGCATGATGTCGATATAAAGTAGTATTCAAATTGACGTGCAAATATATATATATACAGAAATGTATAAATTTCTCTTCATGTATACATACATATATACACATACACACACACACACAT